ATAAATAAACCCTGATTGCCAGGTTGAAACCTCCTTTCTGACCGATTGACCCCATAATAACCATTGCACTCAGGGCAATTTTCAACAGTTGGCAATTTAATACCTTCTTCCTAGCAATGGATGAAAAACGGGCACCTCCAATAATTTTTATGCCGATACCATTCTTCCCGACGTCTCTCTTCTTGCTGTTGTCGATATCGGTCCTTACGCTGACGCCAACCCTCCTGCTGCCTTCGATGGGTAATCATAATGCCAGGTCGAGGAGGGTTTTTGGAACTACTACTTTCTCCCAGCAAACCCTTACTTTTTGCATCATCGGTAGTTATCCGATGTTGGGGATCCACTGATGCGTTTTTCTCAGCAGCCTCTGACGTCAATACCTTGATCTTCCCTTTGGCCTCCAACATATTTGCTGGAAAAGGGTGTTGATCAATTTTCATCGGCTTCTGGGTCTTGGAAGAACCAAACTTAATTCTCTCAGATTCAATAGCCGATTGTAATCAAGTTCTAACGCCTTTGCACTCATTTGTACTGTGTGTGAAGTTGCATTGTGCCATTTGCGATACAAGATCTTCTTCAACTCTTCTGCCGATGGGATCACATGATTAGGTGATGACTTAATTTGGCCCTCTTGAAGCGTAAGATCAAATATCTTGTCGGCCTTGGTGATATCAAAGGTAAACTTTTACGGCTCTTTTCGACCAAAGGGACAAGATATCGGCTTTTTATTCTTAACCCACTCACTAAGCCGATAACCGGTTCTTCATCGAATCGAAATCTCCTACTTCAACAAATGATACTTTTTACTCCAATTCTTTTTAGGTTCAAAACCTTAGTATCTTGATCGTAAATCCTTTGCACAAGATGACCGAGGCTTTCAAACTCCTAAGAAGCATATCTGTCTTTAAGATGTGGCAATAACCCTTGAAAGCCGGATCGGCAAAGTCAGCCGATCATCCAAAGACCAGTCAGTAACACTTATTTTTACATCTCGTAGCCTTTGCACAAAACTTTCTACCGATTCATCATTCTGTTGTCTCAATTTTACTAAATCGGTAAGCTTCTTTTCATGGATTCCAGCAAAGAAATACTTATGAAATTGTTTTTCTAGATCAGCCCAAGTAATAATAGAATTTGGTGGTAATGAAATGAACCATGTAAATGCCGATCCGCATAAAGATGATGAAAATAATCGAACTCTTAATTCATCTCTGCTAGCTGCCTCTCCACATTGAATAATGAAGCGATTGACGTGTTCCATCGTTGATGTATCATCTTGCCCAGAGAATTTAGTGAAATCTGGTACCTTGTACCGATTTGGGAGAGGAATTAAATCATATGCGGGAGGGTATGGAGTCCGATAAGAATAAGTATTGACCTTGGGCTTTATCCCAAACTGATCCTTCATAATTTCTGCTATCTTATCGGCTCAAAAAGCATCAGCCTCCTACTGACAAACTGGCTGAATTTCTACAGGAGGTACCTGTTGATATCCCTCCACAAATCTTTGTGGCCCACGATCTCCAGCAATCGGCATATTTGCCGTTACTTGTGGTTCATTAACTTTCTTGAAAAAGGATTCATCGGTGTTCATTAGATGCTTGATTCTAGAAACCAACTTGCATATGACCTTGTTGAATCCTCGCAACTTTCGCTGATTTTGTTGAATCAGTATGTTGAACAGTAATCGCCCCCGACCAACCATTATTAGAACTCATCGGTACAAAATTTACCGATGGTGGTAATTCTTCGACATTGTTGGATAATTATAACCAAATTGAGGCATGAATCAACCCCGCTTTGACTCATAGAAGGGGTTTTCTGCATCGGCGATAAGCTTGCCGATGGACTTGAATTGGGTGTTTGAACCAAAGGCATCTGGAAACCTCCTCGAGTTGGTTGCACGGTAGTTGCTTGTGGCATATTGAGGCACTTGAGCCATCGGTAAAACAAAATACCGATGGTATAAGAGCTTTTCCTATCGCATCAAACACTTGAGGTAACCCGAGATTGAAAGCGATGACTCGGAGGCATACCATATCCCCACCAATTAGCGGTGAATCGCTATTCTCGAGACACGAGGGCCCGACATAGCCGATGCCGATAGATTTGTATTAAGCTGAACTTGTCCTCCCCGACAAGACATCGGATCCGATCGTATCGGTGTAGATTGAATATTAGGTAAGCCTGCCGATACTGGAGAAGTAACTTATGTACCCACAACGGCCGAGGGAGCCGATGGAGTATTGACAGATGCCGGCTCTGGTTGGTGATAGGCAGGCCCAACGTAATGCGGTGACGCTTGTCCTTCTTTGAGAGTTCGAACCACAAAGATTATGAACATGTGATGGACAGCACATTAGAATGATTAATCAAAGCATGATTTATCGCAGAATTAACCATCTCTTGAAGTTTACGAGATTGGAGTCAAAGGTAACTCACCCGAGGCAACGCGACAAATCTTGCTTCGGATGACTTGTCCACTCTTGTTCAAAGCTAAACGATCTCGAACATAAAGTCATGCTGTATTCTTCTATAGCCTTTTCCATGGCCTCGCCTCTGCTCTTCCTTAAGATCTTCTTCGATACCGCGATAATGTTCCCCTGAATCGATCTCGGATTGATCATATTGATCGGATTGATTGGTCCCACCGAGCGTGCCAAAAGATGTGTTGATGCAAAAGTGGATCTGCAAACACAAAGGGCTAATACCCGAATCGATATCCAAAGCGTGCCAGTCGATTTGACCTGTTAATCGACAAGGATGAAGATACGAGCACTTTGGTCCTGACAACAGCGATACGCCCGGAAGTCACGGCCAAGAGGTACTCACGCGGAACTCGAGAATCACCGAAGGTCGCACTGAAGCGATGCAACTCGCCGAATCAATGAGAACTCGTAAAAAGAAAAAAAAATGCAAATTGACGAAGTCGCCGAAAAGTAAGTAGATGCAAATAGGAGTAAAAATTGGTTTTGATATTGATTGATCTATATTACATTGCCCCTCAATCTATATTTATACCCTGATCTAAAGAGACATAACCGAATACGACTAGGGCACCAAGTCCATATCTAAGGAAACACGTGACTCTTACATGAATCATACTCTAACAAATATAGAAAAGGAAATCAACTCCTATCTATTTCCCTGTCCGCCTCAATTACGATGGAATTCTCACCGACCTCCTTTCCATCGGCATACTTCCTGTTTCATCGGGAGTAGTTTTCAAGCCTTCCTTCATCAGCATCGACACTAACATCTCCAACCTTATCGGCAACGCCCGAGTCTAAATCAACCTTTCCATCGATCACCACCATTCATCGGCAACCATCTTTACAAGCTGATTTTCATCGGCTGTCAGCGTATACAGTAATTTTCCTCCTGCCGATTAGCCCACTCTGATCATTTTGACACGTGCAAAAAACGGTGTCAACCTCTCAAATCACTAATTTAGTCTCCAGTTATGCTTTGTTTCACTACATTTTATTGAAACACAAGCTACATGGAATCACAGCTGAACCTGCATCTCAGCAAAGCAAAAAATCGCGCTCCACTCTCTTGTTCTAATATTTGTTGGCCGTAGGTTCCATAGCGTGCTATGTCAGGAAATCTAACATTCAACATATGAATTTTGTGTCAGCTTATCAGGTTTGCCTTCCTAGGCCATAAGATCAGGAATACAGTCAAGATATCCAACGCTCCTGGCTGCACTGTAGCAGCATGAAAAAAGGATAGCCTTCAGATTATTTTCTGTACATTGTTTCTATCTATGCCTTTGACGGACGATGACATAATATTATTATATGCTATATAAAATTTCTATTTCAAATATATCTTTTCCAGCTGCTTCAAAAAAAACACTGGCCACGTATTGGTTGCTGTGTGATAATGGGCATGTATTAGCTGCTGTTGTGATAGTTCCCCAAAAGATACAGGCCTCCTAATTGTTGAGGAAAAGTTAAGTACACACATCTATCTTCGTATGACAAGTTAATTAAAACTGTGGCTGCTCAATAGTTAATGCTCTTGTGTTCGAACCGGCATATTTGTGGGGTTTTGAATCATATATATATGCTGGTGAATATAGCAAGTTCTACTTTTTTGTTACTGCCCCTGCATAGGATGTGTACCAGCATAGGATATTCTTTCCTGATTTTTTTAAATAAATAGTTATACACCTGCATAGGATATGTGCACCTGCTTCTAACCTAAAGTGATTTTTTTGGTTTGTTATGTACTTAATCTATTCTGATTGGTTAGGGACTATGATTCATATTCCATTGCTGCAATACATGATTCAGAAGGTACATCCTGATCAATGTCTACTTGCTATTGTTGCCTTGGTGATTCTTATGCAAAGTCCGCAGTCATGAACAAAATGAGAGTGGTAAATGTTTTTGTGATTATTTTGCGTCACAGTTATGGTTTAAGCTATGCATCACTTCTAATTGTCCATCTCATCTTTTTTTAGGTGTCCAAGAAATAAAAAGCACAGATTCGAGCTCTGCTGAAAACGGACTCATCTGACCATATAATTCGTGTTACAAATGTACTTGCATTTAGTTTACTTTTGTTGTGCTTCCTACAACCTTACAAAATGGCCAGTCTCGGCTTCCTACAACCTTCCATCTCATCTTTTTTTAGGTGTCCAAGAAATAAAAAGCACAGATGCGAGCTCTGCTGAAAACGGACTCATCTGACCATATAATTCGTGTTACAAATGTACTTACATTTAGTTTACTTTTGTTGTGCTTCCTACAACCTTACAAAATGGCCAGTCTCGGCTTCCTTCCAAATTTCACTCTGTACTTCGTTATCTGCAGTCCAGAGTTAGGCAAAAGAAAGGCTTAGGTTCCTATATTTATCTCAATCATTTTTTCCATTCACTCAGATTATGAATATCCATAAGTACTTCATGCTATATCTCAAACCAATTCAGTCTCCGCATTTGTAACTGCCCGCGCACGCAGGTAACGGTTCAAGTGTTGAAGTTTACAGGGCTATCTGTTTACAGGAGAAAAACAAACAAAGCTGCCACAGGGACTATCAATCTCCGACAGAAGAGAGACTACACATAGCCCTCCAGCAGCACACTCCCATTCACCTCCCTGTGCTCCAAGTTCTTCAGCGGAAACGATTGGCTGCCACCAAATGCCAGGTTGCTGAGCCCTTCGCTCGCGAGCCAAAAAGGCAGGACCTCCACGACGACCTTCTGCACCAGCTTGTCCTCCTGGAAGTCGCTCAGAAGCGATGCAAAGTTTTCTCCAGCCTCTCTGAAATCCACCAGCACGCTTGCAAAGCCCTCGCTGTGCAAGAAGTTGGAGAATAGACTCCAAGTCTATCTGACGAAGGACAGCAACTTCAACTCCTGCTGGCTCCACGGTGACAGGACTATCAGCAAGGACTATCACCTTTGATGCATTCTCTTCGCTGAGAGATGGGATGTGTAGTCGGGAATTTTCACCCTGTGCTACGATGATATAGAGAGGTTGGTTTGCACCGCTTGGCGATAAAGGTAAGCTAAGCTCGACATCTTGGCCAGTTCACTTGAAATTATGACTCCATCATATTCTTTCATCAACTGTGAGTAGTACCCACCTGACTGATCAGCTCCCTTCCCAATATGGTTTGTGACGATTCCATTCACTGAGAGTGTAGCTCTGTTATTCATATAATAACAAATAAATACCATCACAAACATTGCACATGATATTCAAATGGTCCATAGAGAACATTTTTATATGCAGACAACAATGAACATTACTACTCAAATAGATGAAGCAATGGGCTTTCAACAGTCCTCCAGACCACAATTAGTTATAGGATCTATCGTCCAACTCACATTTCAAACTCTAGATATGCACTGTACACTGTCTATTTAATATTTACTAGCAGGTCCTTCAGAGCAAATGTGAACACTGATTTAGCAAAGTTGGAAGATTGGGATGTTACTTGGAGTTGGATATTTACCTCAAAGTTGCAAAAGCCTTCCCGGTGAGCATACGATGGATGTAAGCCTCATTTAGTTTGCGGCATAACGCTTCCTCCACACCCACCCTCACATTTATTCCAGCACCTTGGAGCTTTTCAATCCCTTTGGATGCGACAATAGGATTTGGGTCAGTCATCCCCACAACAACTTCCTTTACTTTTGCATTGATGAGTGCTTCAGTACAAGGAGGGGTTCTCCCATAGTGGTTGCAGGGCTCCAAGCTAACATAAGCCGTTGCATTTTCAGCTAAATTACCTGCATCTCTCAGTGCAAATACCTACACATGATTTTAACACAATACAAGGTTATGGTGCTACGTAATGATACTTTGTCATTGTATAAGCTCTAAAGCCACTATAATATTAAATACTTATAGTGTAGCAATGCAGGATTAAATATTGAGATGTGATGTAAACTGTTTATAGGAGAGAATCTTCAAGGAGAGTCGGCTAGCAAGATTCAGCATCCACTGTCCCTCCCAAACCAAATTATTACACATTCTTCTAGAACCTTTCTCACAAAAAAAAAAGATGTCACTATCCTCCTCTTACAGAGCTTGACATTTTTGTTCGTTAGAGGTTAATGTAATGTTGATGGTTGTTTTTATACACCATGATGTTCACAGCTTTAACATAAAGCTTATTGTTTTACAGCATCATAAAGAAAGGAGATGAGTGCTGGGATACCAGGTACAAGCGACACCCACAAAGTTGAAACGCCCTGTTCGCTTGGCTTATAAGCCGTACTTTTTCAGCCAACAAACAGTATTTTTCTCTCACAACAAATCAACCCACAGTACTTTCAGCCATGGTTTATCAGCCAAGCGAACAGGACATTTGAAAGAGATGAGCAGGACAAGACTAGTCGCTTCACCTAGAACATTGATGGCTAACCAATGGATGACGTGCTGTTTTACAAGCTTTACTTCTTGTTGCCATAGACAAAAGTTTCCATTAATCTTCATATACTAGTATAAGCACAAATTATATTGTTCTGTTCAAACCAAAAAATAGCGTTTGCTTTCCAAAATTGCATAGAGTTGAGGTTTCATGAGTAACGTGTTTGGTGTCGAATGTCTCGCTAGCTAAAAAGTTATAACAGCTCGAATAGTACAGAAGTGGTTTTTGTTACAAAGGACAATTGGCATACTCTGATGATGATGCCTAACAACATGGCCAGATTCCGTTGCACTTTATGACGATCACCAAACAGCCTTTTCCCTTCCCTTTGTCAGAATAAGCATCCAAAGAAAATATTGAAAAGCGAGAATGGAAGACATGCTACCTCGGCATGAGGTTGGCCGGCTTTGGGGTGGAATCCTTCTCCGACGACGCGGCCGTCGCGGACGATGATGCAACCCACCATAGGGTTGGGGCTGGTGTAGCCGGCCGCCTTGCGCGCCAGCTCCACGCACCGCCGCATGTAGTGGGCGTCCAAGTCCCCCGCCGCCTGCGCCTGGCAGCGCACGGCGTGCCCGCCAAGGGCCCCGGCCCCGGCCGCGAGGCGGGCGCGGGTAGGGGAGGCGAGCGTGGCGGCGCGGACCGTGCGCTGGGTCAGGTGCGGGCGCGAGACGAGCGAGGACGCCATGGGCGCCAGGACGTGGGCGGCGAGCGGTGGCGACTGGCGAGCGAGAGGGAGAGCCCAATCCGAGGGCGGCCGCGTGTGCCCGCGGAGGGTTTGGTTGGGTTTGGGACGGCTGGTTGGTTGTAGGTCACGTGCGCGCGTGACGCGCCTAGCTCCGTCACCCACCCCACGCCGCCACGCGGCCCCTCCGCCGCCGCTGCCGTCACCTCCCCGTGCGAGCCGCGCCTAGCTCCCGTCACCTCCTCGTAGGCTGCTGCCGGCTTCCGCGGCTCCTCCCCTCCGTCCCCAACCGCCGCGCCGGCCTAGGGACGCCTCTCTCTTATTCGACACCGTAATTGGTCTGGCTCGCCGCGTGCGCCGCCGGCCGTCCACCGTATCCTATCCTATCCCGCCCGTCCACCGTTCGCTCACCCAATGCGGCTGCCCCGTTGGCCGGTGTCGTCACGACCCCTGGGCCGTGTCGGTCCATTACATTACATCGCTTGTTCGATTCCGGCCCAGACAGTACACGTCACTAAAGCGAGCCCGGAGCCCAACAAGTTTCGTCGTTGAACTCCCTTGCTTCGTGTGGCCACGCGCCCACCCACAGCCAAGGTGAGTGTGTGTCGCCTAGCGCCTAGCGGACGTACCTGTCATCTCATCTCAATCCACACAAAATCGAATGGTGCAGTGAAGTAGCCGAGGAAGCTACTCCAGGACTTTTTGCCTGGAACGGCTCGGCTAACACCAGGTAGCGGTAGCCGTCCCTCCTCTATCCAGTATCCACCTGCCCCTTCATTTGGTATCTCCCAGCTCATCTCTCTTTCATTATTCCCCCGGTTTCATCTCTCCTGCAAGAGGTAATTGCACTTTCCTGCATACGTTTTGGTTCGGTTTCAGTCGTGTTGCAGAGTTTCGTTTTCGTTAGTCCAATCCAGTGGCTACTTCAGAAGTGATGCAACGCTAGTACTAGTTCCTAGTTCCTACTGATGCGGTGAACTGCTCCTTCGGATGCTTGGGGTTCATGGTTGTCTGCACATTGTCGCACCTGCTCTGCTTGCTTAGGTCTCAGTTTATTCTTTCAGAAACTTCACCTCGTAACCGAAATAAGCGTCACGCCGTCACGCGTTGAAGATTAGTGTCTTGTATATGATGATATGCTATCCCTATAATTTTGACAGGAATATGAGCTCGTTAGATGCCACACGAGCTGAGCTTGGCCTCGTTGTTCTGTACCTGAACAAAGCCGAGGCTCGGGACAAGATCTGCAGGGCGATCCAGTACGGCTCCAAGTTCATAAGCAACGGGCAGCCTGGCACTGCGCAGGAGGTCGATAGATCGACCACCTTAGCTCGCAAAGTTTTCCGGCTCCTCAAGGTCAGTCAGATATGATTATCTTCTCTCCGTATCTGCTAAGTGTTCTCGGTGTACCATCATGCAGCTGATGGTTGTCTAAGATAATTGCTTGATGTTGCATGTCCAGTGGGTCAATGATCTGCATGCTCTTATCAGCCCGCCGGCTAAAGGGACTCCTCTCACCCTCGTCCTGCTTGGCAAGGTAATTCTGAATCTTTTATTCAAGCATTACTACTGTTCATGAAGAATTCCTCCGTTTTGGAATGACAGAGTTCAAATTAACCTGCTGGTTCTTCGATAATTTCAGTCCAAAAATGCGCTGCTTTCGACGTTCTTGTTCCTGGATCAATTTGTGTGGTTAGGACGAACAGGGATAGTCAAGGTTTGTCCTGATGGAACGATTTGGTTGCTTGCCTTCATCAACTGCATAGTGTATGCATTTTTCCTTTTGACAGATTTGTTCTTGCTTCCGTTGGTAGAACAAGGAGGCGACGGACCGCGTTGGCAGGATATCCCTGTACTGCTGGATGGCTTCTTCTGTCTGTGCAGGTCTAGTTGAGGTATATTACATTACATAGTTTCTTCGCATGCTTATGCTTCAAGTTTTCTACACCTAGTGATGTACTGATTGTGTGTCTGCAACTTTTCAGCTTGGAGAGCTTAAAAGGCTATCGAGATCAATGAGGAAGCTTGTTAGAGAGCTGAGGGACACAGATAAATATGAGGTGCGTATATACTTTCGTATCTGCCACTGACTGATCATACATGACTACATGAGGGCATGGAGTGTATATGCAGTTAACTTTTCCACCTATATTTAAAGTGTTTATCATGTGGCCATTTTGCAGAATGAACAGTACCAGAACAAAATGAAGCAGTCAGATGAACGGCTCCTGGCCCTGGTCAAGGCGGCCATGGACGTGGTCGTGGCCATCGGGCTTCTTCAGTTGGCACCCAAGAAGGTCACTCCAAGAGTGACAGGAGCCTTTGGGTTCATCACCTCGCTCATCTCCTGCTATCAGGTACTTCTGCCTCTGTGTTGTTGACTTTTTGTGCATGTGTTGTTCAGGAATGGAAGTGCAATGCTCATGTTCCGTGTGCTCTATCTACATTCTACAGCAACTTCCTTCCCGCGCTCCGGTTGAAAAAGTCAAAGTTTGAGGAGTGTAGCCGTCCTAGTAGAATAAATGAGTCAACGCTGGAAATTATTGATCTCTACTGCTTCAACAATGGATCGTACTACAGTTATATGCGAGTATATAATACCATGTATTGGCAGTGCCCCTGCCTTGTTTTCAAAAAAAGAAGACAAAATAGAACAGCAGCTTATCGATCACTTAGTTATCTTCTCTTTTTGTCTAGCAAAGGACGTGAAATGTTCGCATGCTTGTTTTTGTATGCTCGTATGTGTCTTTGTATGCTCCTTTATCCTTATTGTGGATAATTCTCTGGGTTTTTTTTTGACAAAAAAATGGCACGGATTTCTCCAACCTGTGGTTTGTGATTAGCTACACAGTGACTACTACTTAGAGCCAGCAGTAGCCCAGAAAATATGACCTCTACTTGCTGTTTTTTTTTACTACAGTCCAGCAGTGGCCCTCAAAATAGAGACCCCAAATTGATTTAAACTACTAATGGCACGTGGGAAAACAGTGTAACCAAGTTAAGCCCCGTTGGCCGCGGGACACAACCTATTGCACCCATCAATACCTATACCATATCCCCGCCTTATCTCCATTTTTCATTTCATCATTTTATCATGGGAGTAAATATAATAATCACTTATTACGAGTAACGGCAGGTTACTCACGCTACCAAAAACCTAAGCAAAGCAGTTACTCGAACATGTACTAGTAAGACTCTTAGGACAGGTATATCTAGGCATGTGGTTTCCATAAAATTTTTCGTAACGTAAATGCACATCACATATATATATTTAGTGATTATAAAAAATAAGACGATCCACAATAACCCAAATAGAATCATACCCCTTTGTTGTGCGGGGCAAACTCACAACAAAGTCCATGGAAACATCCTCCCATTTTCAAATTGAGATCGGCAAGGGCTGTAGAAATCCAGGCATACGCATATGGTCCGCCTTAACCATTTCACAAATGTCACATTCTGAGATGTATTTGGTAATATCCTGTTTCATATTTGGCCAATAATTCAAGTGACGCAAATCATGATACATCTTGTTACTTCCTGGATGAATGGATAATTTGGAGTTGTGAGCTTCATCCAAAATTTTTCTCCTAAGCTCATCACTTGAGAGAACCACCAATCGGTTCTTAAACTTCACTACACCTTGATCATCAATACTGAAATGAGGACTACGCCATTCGGCAATTAACTTCTTGATATGCGGAATTTTTGAAACATCTTGCCTTTGCTCTATAATAATTTGCTCAAGTAAATCCGAGACTAGAGCGATATGGCTAACACCTCAGAATGGTTCAGAAACAAAGATTCTTCTTCAACTTGATGCGACTTCCGACTTAAGGCATTAGCTACCAAATTAGCTTTTTCAGGGTGATAATAAACTTCTAAATTGTAATCCTTGATTAACTCAAGCCACCTCCGTTGCCTCATGTTCAGCTCGGATTGAGTGAAAATATATTTGAGACTCTTGTGATCCGTGTAGATATGCACTTTATTTTCTAACATGTAATGTCTCCAAATTTTTAGAGCGTGCACCACCACAGCCAGCTCTAAATCAGTGTGGCAGCGCGGCGGGGCCAGCGGCAGCACCGCCTGGCTGCGCATGCAGCAGCGGCGGCCAGGCCAGAGCAGCCGTGGCCGGCCACGCGCGGCATCGTGCGTCCGCGCAGGACAATCAGCTTGGCGACGCCAAACGGCCGAGCGTGGTGACCGCGCCCACATGGCCAACCAGCCCGAGACCGTGTCGTACACGAATTTTAAAGCGCCTATAAAAATTAAACGGTTGCTTCTGGACCTTAACCATCTTCACCATGCTCAAGATGGCATATGAGTCTACCAACCCGAGCTAAAACATAACACTTTTTCTTAACCCGATTTCGAAAAATAAATTGTCAAACATGGCATTCTCTAGCTGTCTATACACTTAAGAATCTTCTAAGTCTATGAGCTGAATTTAATTCCAAGTTGTATTTCTAGGCTATTAGAAATGTTGGCTAGCAATGTTATTTTTCTACAGCAAGTATTTCATTGTCATCTACAAAGTTCATATTCCAATCTTTATTTAAACGCTATACAAAATATCTAGATCTAAATTATCGTTCATGTTTATCTATTCCTTAGGTGTTCTCCATGCAAAATATGCAGATATAGAGTATTCCATTATCTGAACTACGATGATAATGTCATGCATACTCGCAATTAATCTGTAAAGTTTCTCACATGAAAGTGTTACCTATTCCATAAGCGATTGGAAAGGTAAATGTGTCACACTCCTGACATTTTTTCTGCCATGAGAACATTTCTTTCCTCTTAATAAAATACTATTTTTTCTACTTTAAAACATTTAGTTGTTTCTAACCAAGAAAAAAAATTCTACTGCAAAGGGGTGAGTAAAAATGTTGTACCTGCAGAAAAACCATTTCTTAATTATGCATTATTATTATTTTTATAATCTTTTTTTCTAAATTCATAATTGTCTTTATGGTTATCTACTTTTCATGCCCAGTAGGATGATCATCGGGAGTCACCACCAAAGTGGCTAAGAAACAATTAAATAGGGAAAGGCCAAGGCCCAGTTGTAATAGGATTCGACAGAGTCGCCGTCGTTGCTCTCCCTCGCCCTCTTCCCCACGCCGCACTGCCAGGCCCAGCGCCGCCACCGCCACTGCCCCACGCCTAGGGGCCACGCCATCAACGCTGCTCCGCCGCCTCAGTCGTTGGGCCATTGCTGGCCGCCCCTTGCCGCGTCCTGCACCGCCCAGGTGCCCTATTAAGGTTGATTTCCCCGCCTTGTCGTAACAGGGCTACCTCGCAAAAGGCGATATGACCACAGGATCCACCTTAAAAATCCAGGAATCCCGATAGCACGAAGACCTTAGAGATACCCTCGGATCCAAAAAAAAAAAGAACCAGAAAAGCAATGTGAGGCGATGCTACGACAAGGACCAATCAGGTACAGTACCTCACCCTTTTCATCACCGGTTTTGCTAGTAAAAAAATAGGATGGGTCTTCGAGATTCTGCATGGACTACCGAGCACTCAACGACAACACTCTTAAGGACAAGTTCCTAATAGCAGTTATTGATGAATTATGAGATGAATTCAAATGGGCAAAATTCTTCTCCAAGCTCGACGTGTTCGCATGCATCCAGAAGACATAAAAAAAAACATCCTTCCGCACTCACCATGGAGATCGAAAAAATAGCTTCGAACTCTGTGGTGGTGTGATCGACGAACCAGTGAGTGATGGGGTGCGTGTAGATCGACGCTGATCTCCACCGCCGGCTGCGAGAAAGCGACACGGGGACGAAAGGCAATGTAGCTGAGTCCTAACAGGAATTGGCGTCACTCTTCCGTTGGCTAGTGCTTATTACGCACAGTGTTTACCTAAACGGTGTAAACGGAGGATTAAACGGTAAACGGTGGTAAACTGTTTTATTTAGGGGTAAACGAAAATTAAATGGTTGACTGTTTAAACGGTAAAAAAATAGGATAAAACGGTCTAAACGGCCTAAACCGAACGAAGATAAATAGTATTAAACGGGCTAAACGGTTGTTTAAATGGCTGTTTAGGCAAACACCAAGTAAATCTAGTTGAATTTTGCATGCATAAGTCTGTATACTTAAATTTATTATATTCATAAATTTGTACACTTGCTTTGTTACATGCATAAATATGTATATTTGATTCTTGTAACATGCATAAATATATATACATACTAAAATAATTGATTTTTTAGTTGCATAAACATGTATAAGTCCTAGAATAATTGATTTTACATTAAAAAATATGCATATTTTGGCAATATTGTGTAAAGCCGTTTAGACCGCTTTAATCCGCTTAATCACTGTATAAACCGTTTAAACGCTAAACAAAACATGACCGACTGTTTACCGTTTAGTGTTTAGGATAACGTTGATTACGCGTGTCATACTTTCCTAGAATACTATTAGTAACAATTTAATAAAATATACAAATATAAGTATATATATTTTTGAGGAAAAAATATAAGTATATATATGGAAATACTTGTTGTATACGTTTTTCTGTCTTCTGTCATAGCCATCGTCTTCTGAATCATCAAATGTTTTGGTTTCCTGTCTTCTCTCATGGGCCATCAACTGAATCATCTCCTGGCCGAAGAACAGCCGACCACTGAGTGCGCTAACAAACCTGCTTGTTTATGCTCCATGGCAGCCCCTGAGCCACACATGTTCATCTCAATTGGTTTATTTTCATTCATTCTTCCCTAATTAATTTAGTTTTCTATTGTATTGTTTTGGTTGTTCTGATCTTTTTTATTTGTTTCTTTAATTTTCATTTTTCTTTCCTTTTTAAACTTCTACTTTCAAATTTATTTCATTCTCCCTATTTATTATTTTAATTTATGTACCAAAACACATAAATGGGCAAACATTTTTCTCTTAGAATGTTAGAACATTATTTCTTATTGAATGGAATTGATCTCAAAAAATCATTGAACAAATTGCATGCATGAGCACAACATCTTTCTCTTTAACATTTTTTTAGGGAACACCAATTACATTTATGGAGCAAAATACATATATGTGGGAAAAAAAGTCTCTCAATCATATTACAATTGTAGTTATTAAGCAGGATAATTTTTGGAGCATATAGAGCTTAATATTTCTAAATAGGGTCTGACTAGCCAGCACTCGGTTTTGGCAAAAACACTCGATTTTGGACCATTGATCTCCTCATCCAACGGCTCATGGCTCTCCCCCCAACCCAACGCCATCTTCTTCTTCTTGAAGCCCGATGCGCCGCTGCTTGCACCCACGGTGACCTCCTACTCCGCCCCCCCCACCCCGACACCGTCATGGCCATGGTCGCCTCGCCCCAACTTAGCTCGGACGCCTTTGCCTTGCCGCCGCCTCTCCCGTCCCCACGCCTCGCTTGTCTGCCTCTCAAAATTTTCTTCTAAGGCCGTCGGAGATGGAGAAGAGACAAGGATAGAGTGTTCTAATACTTTGAGTGGAATGTAGCATTTCTCTTCTAAATATATTAATATACCACACGTCCGTAACAAATCAAGATGCACAAATTTGCACGGCTGATCTTTCAAGATGAAGATTCAATTAGGCGAAGTTTCTGAACAGCCATTTCATTTCATACATAGTGTGAAGCTGGGTTGATTTCTATACAGGTGAGATTTTTGCATGGAAATAGTAGTACAGGGCAGGTAGTTTAGTTACACCTGCTACTGCCTACTGAACATGCTGCGTAGCCTGCCGCGCTCCAGCCTCTCGTGCAGCTTCTTGGCGCCGGCCACGTTCATGTCGGAGAGCTTCTTGAGGTAGCCGATGGCGCCGTGCGAGACCATCACCTTCTTGCATCGCTTGGTCCCCGAGAGCGTGAGGAGGCAGGCGATGGCGTACTTCTTAGCCGTGTTCGCAGGGCTCGGGTCCAGCAGCTGCACCAGGCTGGGCACGCACTTGT